GTTGCTGCTCATGACTCAGCCTAATTAGGAAAGTGCAGCAGGAAGCTGACTCTGCCAAGAATCCATGAAGGCAGCATTCAAGAAAGCCCAGGCGAAGAGCTTCCCCTCCATGTCATGCCACACCGCCTCATGGCTAGGGCACATTGAAAGCCTGCCCTCCCAGCCGCGTGGTGCATGCAAGGCGCCACGAAGCCGAAAACCAGCCAGATGTTTGCCTGGAGCGCCTGGAATTTAAGGCTCTGAACCCTGAGCAAAACAGACCTAGCTCACTTAGCTCTGTCAAGTTGCCAGCCACGCCGGAAGCCTGAAAGAGAATGATTGTTGCCTTGGCACTGCTCTATGTAGACACCGGCCCCACTGCAGGGCAAACTCTGTCAAGGATCGAAGGCATCTCTGCATATTCTCCGGCACATCGATGCCGTCAAGAAGGGCCCAAAGTCGGGCGAATCGCCAGACGCAAAGGAACCTCGCACTGCGGAAGCTGCATCGACAAAGATTGAGAAGCCACAGCTGGGGCACCGACCATTAGGGATCGCAAATACTGTCTCGCCTCAGGCCATCGAAGCGCACCAGCACACAAGAGTTGTTGCTTGCGATGGTTACGGCTGGTGTCACCAAAGGGGCATGCATGTGAACCAGCTCCTCCTGCAGGCTAACTTGGCATTTCAAAGCACGCATACCGCGTAGAGCTTGCAAGATTAAACATACTCGAGTGAAGTCAAGTATACTGAGCCACACTGAACGAATACTATACCCGGCACTCCTGTGGATGCCCAAACGCGCGGGGCACAACGTGTGCATGCACAGCACAATGTACATGATTGCAGGGCAGACAAGCATACACGAAGGACTGTAGGCCGTAGGTAAGGTTGTGAACTACAACAACTCTACCCTACTAGACAAAACAAGCCCGTACTATGCAATAACTAGGCCCTGTGCTGTGATCTTGGCTAGGGGCATCATGGTAACAAAAACTGAAGTGCGTCTGACAGTAAGTGGCTGCTGCAGCCAGGTGGCCTCGCTCTCGCATTCCAGCACACCACAGACGTCCTGGCAGCAACGCCAGCGAGCAAACAGTCCGGCACGCTTGTCAGCATCTTTGAGTTGCATGGATGGGCCTCATCCCAAAGAAAACACCACGAGTATTTAGGAGCATTTGGCATGGTTGAATCGCTTCTGCGGGCGGCTACGCATCCGTTCAGGTTTCAACGAGGCACGGCCACATCGGCATGGACTCATGGAGACTTGAGAAATCCAGGAAGATTAGGCGGCAAGTCTCTGCAAATTAAATTGGAGACGATCAGACCTTCCCGATTATTTTGGGATTTTTGGGGGAAAACAGAAGATTGTGGTGGGCTTCTCACGGAAAAGTCTAGGATGCTTTACTACAGCCCCTTCCACCGAATTCACCGAAGAAACTAGATAGCTCAGAAAGGGCAAAGCTTTCTGGAAGTGCCTGCATGCCAGGGTATGAGGCACCTAGATTTCTCTAAGAAAGAGAACAGGTTGCTTTTGACGTCCAACTTCGGGCGGGCTGCTCACAAGTGTCTACTAGTTAGCACTGTGTCAGCAGGACTGGGCGCATTTGAAAAGGCGTTTGGTCACGCTTGGTCACCTCCTGGACCCCTGGACCCGAACCTTTCAAAGGTGAGCCCTTCTGCGGAGCATTCGGGAAAAATGTGCCTGTGTGCCTGTGCAGAGCAATTGGTGCAGGTACAAGACAGTCAGATGACCTGATGATTTCATTGACTTTGAGGAGAGCCTCAGGATTGCAGGCCATTGGGATGCACTTTCCTTTTGACTTCCTTGTGGGGTTAGAAATGATATCGGAACCCTCAGCTCCTGCTTCCCACCTTCGATGATAGGAGGCGCAGGCCGCTAAAAGAAAAGCACCGCCAGCTACAGATGGCATGTGTTCCTCTTATATCACTTGCATTACGATCACTATGTTTAACAGTATTATGATTCTTATTATCGTTACTATCATATCTGGCATGCTTCCTGCAATCTGAGCCACAGGAGTTCCAGCAGCCCCAAGCAAAGTAAGAGCCGCAAGGTGTAGTGTAGAACAGCAACTGCGAGCAGGTCATTGTCCGGATCGCCCTGCCAGAGCAGCATGTTTCAGGCAGCTCGTCAACTCACAGCGCCTCCAGGAAAAAAAGCTAGAGCAGCCTGTCGCCCAGATGCGACATGAAGGAGATGAAGGTGGTCGTCGGTCCAGCAAGCCACAGAGGCGAGTAGAAGTAGGTCACGAGATTGAGCAGGTTGTACTCTTGCGACGGATGAGATTGACCCCTGCCGTGGCGACAGAATGCGCCACAGACTTCAGATCTTCAGCTACATGCTTTCGCCCCTCTGCAGCACGAGTACATGGCGGTAATGCGCATGTATGCGGATGCGCCTTCTCTTCAAAAGAGGCCAGCGGTCCTCCTTGCCTGCAGCCTCCTCAAACACACCGGGACTCTGCCCTGGCTGCTGCAAGGCCCAGAAGTAGTCCTCGGCTGCAGTTGCCCCAACCTGAAGGAAACTGGAAAAGCAGCGCAACCAGCACAATTGCCGAGCGACCATGTTGAAAGAGAGGAGCCTCAGGCTGAGTAGACTCAGGGACCAAAGGACATACCATATAGGGGTATAGTATAATATGGGGGGTATACAAGGATAATGGAAAATACAATGGAAACTATTATTTAGGGTTGAGGGTTTAGGGTCGAATAGTCAAGCTCAGACAGCTGAGACCCAGGCTGATGCAGATCCTGAGGTAGCCTTATATAGGGATCATATATAGTCCCTATAGAATCCCTATGTAGTATGTAGGGGTTCTATTCCCTTCATTCCCTACTAACCCCCAGTAAGTCTACTGCATGAAAAAGGCAGTTGTAAGGTGCAGGCATAAGCGCTTGGAAGGCTTCTAAGCCACGGCCCAATGACTGGCAGGGGCACCAGTGGTCTTCTCAGAAGACTCATGAACCACGTGTATACATATATATATATACAGGTATCAATATATTACTTGCTGTACTTTTCTATTGATCTATTTGTGTATATGTACATAATATTTATGTATTCAATTGTATCCATATTTGGTGTGTAGGGCTTAGGGTTTCAGGGTTTGAGGCCCAGGGTCTACAGGACTTTAGGAGGCACACCTCCAGGACCTTCACTCCAATCAGGAGAAGCCCGTACGACCGGCTTGCAATCGGAATCCACCTCCCATTCCCACCTGGCGTTTCAACGAAGTGCTACAATTAAAAAGGAACCCCCCCATACTAATATGCAGATTTTCAGACCAATGTCAGTACCAATAGTACTAGTATTCCCATGCTAACATATGAAGGTACAGTACCAAGATCAGTACCAGTAGTAGCAATAGTACTATAGTATTAAGAAAACGCCTGCCAAGTCTAGGATGCAGCTCAGGCCGGAGTTTTGTGCGATGGAATGAGGAACTCAAGCGCCACACGTTCGCCAGCATATTGCGGCATGCAGTTTACAGTATACTCGGCACTGCTTGAAAATTGGCGCTGAAAATTGAAAAGGCTCTCAGCGGAGGTTCTGACACAGTCTGCGAATACTTCCCGGGATTTACTCCCTAAACCCGAAGCCCAAAACCCTTTTAGACCCTAAACTGGCTAGTGGCTTCCTAAGATACCTTGCCATTCACATGTCATGAGATGTATCGCAAATGTGAAGCTGTACTACTCTCAGAAGCTGCAGCCTCTTCACGCGACCAAATGGCCGCGTGGCTGAACAGACACTTGAGCCATAGTCTAAACTCCTAGTATCACCCTGAATAAGCAGTGTATTACTCCCCTATATAATCCCCTTTACGGAGTTACCCTACATAATCCCCCCCTTTTCAAGGAGTTTAGATTGTCGCTCACTTGGCCTGGGAGGTTGGGACCTGGAGGCACTGAAGCCGTGCGGCAGACAGTGACCGCTGGCCAACGACGGCGAAAATCAGGGCGAGGTTCATGCGTGGACATCTGTTCAGATGGGACTGGAAAACGCAAACCAGCTCAGCCTCTGAAACCGTTTGCTATACCGTGTCCTACATTGATCGCAAGCTGGAACACGCGTCATGCACCTTCCTGCATCGTGAATTAACGAAGGAACAAGATTGATTTGCGGGCACAGCATAGCTATGTTCCTCCATTGAGGATTGCTACGGGCAACAGCCCCAGCGCCACGCGGCCTCTTTCACTCTTTCTGGACGTGGATGGGGGTTTTGTTTTGGGCCGGTTGTTTCTGCCGACTGACCCTGATTCGGTCGCCTGCAGCTGGTAGCTTGATCTCCATTATTCAATAAGCGGGCAGGAACTGAGAGCGAAAACGATTTGACTCTTTCACTTGCATCGCGCTCTCACTTCCGACCCCAAGCCAGTTAATCGCAAGTGAAATATGCACAGCAGAGCAAGTGGCATGCAATGCGAGGTCTGAACACATGTGACAGATGTGTTGCATAAGGTTGGCTTGGACCCCAGCCGTCGCATTGTTTGGTGTCTGGCATCTTTGCCGTTGGCTCTTGTGGCACTTGCCACTCGTTGCCCACCACTGCCCATGACAAGCTATGGAACTAACTAGTCATCGGAAGCACTCTGCATCGAAAACGGCTGTTGGTAGTTTGAGTTTTGAACACAATTTGCGGCTACAGGCACAAACATCATGTAAGGTGCTGTTCCGGACTGACTTACCGAATACATCGGAATCATGCTGGGAACTCCTACAGTGGGCATCTGTCCCTGACCATTCTGGCCAAGCTGGTCACAGTAATCTGTGCTCTCGTAAGGGTCAGGTGTTCCGGGTGTGTCATCATTCCAGTGATTCCAGGTAGCTGGCTGCTCTGTTGGGGCCGATGCCAACTCCTGCCACATCACTGCACCGCAGCTGCCACAAAAGCGCCCGCAGCCACAAGTCGGGCAGCAAACGCTTCGCCTGGATCAGGGCTAGTGCAATGGATGGCATTGATGGATAAAGCACCTACAGTAGGAGCCTTACATGCATCATTTAAGAGAACATCCAGCTTGGCACGCGTACCTGCTGGAGGAGCCCATCACGAACTGCTGGATGTTCAAGTCCTGCTGAGGAACCTCCTGACTCCCTGTAGACTTTGCAGAGGACTGGGACGCGTCCCTCGCTGGTGGAATCTGCATCAAAACCTGCCCGTGACGTTCCTCGGAGGCATCTGCTTCCTTAGCCGGCTGCGCGTTGCGGCGCTGGAGGCCTTCCTCCAGGCTCTGACTGAGGGCCTCCAGCTCTTTACAGGCAGCTCCACACCTGTCCCTAAGCCCCAAGACACGGAGGCCAGATGCGTTGACGCAGAGTGTGACTTGGTGATCCATTGCTAGAGGTTCCAGGAGACCGGGGAGATTCTCAAGATCCTGATCGGAGATGGATTCCAACACCACCTGCTCACAGCACTGATCCTGGAGTTCCTCCAACAAGCTTTGTGCCAAAGCCACGGAGTCTGCTGGGCCAAAAAGCCGTACTTCTCGGAGCTGCCTCTCAATGTGGACTCTGCATCCGCTGGCAGACTGGATTCGAGCAAGGGCTGCGCCACCCTTCTGCAGCGTACGTGTCCTTGCAAATGGCTTTAATAACTACCACCATATCCTTCTGCAACCCCTTTTGCGAGGACTAGAACTAGTAACTAGCATTGCGAAGATGACTCGCGCAGGATAGATTCGGATAGGTGTAATACCAAATTGCTGCTTCTTTTTGGGCCTGTTATCCCCTGTTTCAGCTACACTTGCTAGACCCGGTCCTCATGAGCTCTGCCCATACCGGTGGTACCACATCGCGACGGGGGCCCCCCAGACTGGCTAAATGCCGCTGGACCACAGCGATGCATGACCTCAGACGCACATGCTGCCCTGTCTGACACCGGCACAAAAACATCAATGCTTCAAACGTGGAAGCGAAAGAGAGGCAATATCTTGCAGCAGCGGCAAGAAGCATGCAACGGCTGCGCATGTCTCAGGAAGGGACAGCTGAAGAAACGCAATCGGGCTCTGAGCTCCCGACTCCGTCCCCGTGACGGAAAGACAGGCCCTTGTTCGGTCCAGACGAACGATGGTTTGCGTGGCGTCCTGCAGCTCCCGGAGCCGCCTCCGCCCTCTTCGGCAAAAGCTCCCAAGGAGCTCCTCGTCCAGTGGGATCTCTACCGTGACGGCGCCTCCATAGCCGTAGCCCATCCCTGTGGGACTCAACCTCGAAGTTCCCTGCATGCAGAGCTCGAGCTCTGTAGTTACAAATCTGCGAATTATGGGCTTCTACACGTCTCTGCTAGCTGGCTGAGCCAATTTCGGGAAGGTCCTTGGACTTTGCTCGTGTGGTCTTTGGCATTGCATCTATGCATGAAGAGGCGACATGCCGATCTGTAAACATCCTCCGACGGGAAGACTACTTAGGGATAGCCCTTGACTACACGTATGCCGTATACCTACACGCCGGAGGAAAGCATGGACCCACAAGCAAGCACCACATGCTTTGGCGATGCCAAAGGAGCCAGTAACCAGCGCGAGCAGGATGAGAGTGTAGCTACCATGCCTCAGCACATCATGCCATATGAGCTATAGTCTAAAGTCCTAGTATCCCCCTTTATGAGCCCTATAATAGTCCCCTATATAATCTCCTATATACTTCCCTTTAAGGAGTTTAGACTGTAGCTCATATGAGTCAGAGGCATGGTCTCCAGTCAACCTTGAGCTTGTTCCTCTACCAGCGTCAAGACTCCAGTGCAGCCAAAACACACATATAGCACAAACAGTAAAGAGAGCATCAGGCAGGGCCATAGCCTGGCAGGGCTCTGACAGTTGAAATCAACTGCAAATGCATTTGGAAACCAATGTGAACATTCATGAGACAATGCATCGCTTAAAGAGCTAGCAGCTAGCAGCATCCTTACCCAGTTCAGGTGACAGTACTACATTGCTCCCCAGTAGCAAGATTTCCCTGTATTCCACGATTGACTTCCTTCATGTGTCACAGCAGCCGCTGCATTGTCAGAAGCTTTCATAAATTACAATAAAGGTAGCACTAGAGCTTGAAAACTGGCAAAGCTCCGCAAGGAGTAGCCATGGGCCATGTCCATTTGTTGGGAATCCCTGAATGTGGTCTGGACTAATCTGGTCTGCATCGTGCGATCTCATGCGATTTCGTGCGTGTCCGTGCTTTACATAAACTCGTGCGATTTCGTGCATGCAGCATTCCAGACTGGAACAGTGAGACCGCATCGAACGCTGGCTGGGTTTGGTGTCCCACTTGACCTTATATAAACTACGATACCCAAAAGGAGGACATAATCATACTTTATATTGGGTACCATAATATCCCAAATCAAATGCTACTCACTTGAGAATTCGGAGATAATCGGGGGAAGATGTTTCCTAGAGTACGGTGTTCGAGGAAGGAGCCAAGTCGGCGGTTCCTGTTCACCATGCACTCGCATCCTCTTGCAAGAGGCCGGTTCTTTGATGATGTGGAGTAATTACCAGGAAGTGCATGGGAATACCTTTTGTATTCCTTCCTCAAGGAATACTTTCTTTTGAGTACGGACAAAATGTATTCCGTAGCACTACCACAAATTCAGCATTTATGGGCCTTTTGGGACAGGGGTCTCATGGGCTCAACTAGTGAAAAAGTATTTCTAGTACGGTTTCGAAGGCCAAAAGGTGAAAATTGAGTACGCTATTTTTTCACCATGTTGCTGGGGTTTGTACGGGTTTAGTACGGGTACGGATTTCGCTGGGTATACAACAGTAGGACTCAAAGCCTTCAATACCTTGAGGCCACATTTAGGCTAATAAACACGTCTTCCCAAAACCAAAATGTATTCTGTTTAAGAAAAGAGTATTCTGCTGCATTCACTGCTAGGGGTTGGACATACAAGGGAGGGTTATTCCCAGGATTGTTATCTGGATAATATATTCCTCGGGGCATGAGGGGCGATCGAGAAAAGCGTATCAAACGTTTTAGGGCCTCAGGAATCACCGATCATGGGGCTTTTTCTTTATCGTCTTTGTCGTCGAAACCCTGGCCTTGCGCTAGCACAGCGGGCGGCTCAGGCTTTATCGTTGTTAGCCCTCGCCTCCCACTATCACAGCGGGAGGCTCAGACTTCGTCGTCGTTGTCGTCGAAACGGCCTCCCACTATGAGAGTGGGAAGCTGCCCAGCACACGGAAATAAATCCTGTCGGCCTAACTCCCCAACTGATCATGTACTGACATAGGATTTCCTGGGCTCATGTTTCCACCAGGGCCAACGACATACACGAAATAAAATCCTGCAAACACCTAAAGGAACCCGAAAATACAATCCTGGAGGAAGAGTTGATGAAAACAGAATTTGAGGCTTGAGCCCCTAGATTCCATTTTACCGCATCCGACCCCTATATATCCCTGATATAACCTCTATATAACCCCTATAAAACTATTCTATAAACCCTATATTCCCCTACATGTAGTAAACCTCTGGGTTGCTGTTTAGGAACTTAAAATCCGTTACTTTTATTTTGGGGGGGAGCATATACCCATCATGGTAACCTAACCTAAGTTCCTTCACAACAACCCAAACCTAGCTGAATTCTATGAGGAGCTGTGACTGCCTCTGCGATGGGATAGTTTCCCAAAATATGGGGACCCCAATGTAGACCCCCATATACTGCCATCCTTACAAGGGAAACTCGAATATTCGTACATAGCTTCTGACAATGGGGCGGCTGCTGCGACACATAAAGGAAAGTCAATGGCTAATTGGTAGGTCTGTGGTACTGTTACCTCAACTGGGTAAAGGGTTTTGCTGACCGGACCACCGGGCAGTTGGCAAAATATTTACAAATCTCACCGAAGACGCAAATCGCAGGATAGCACACTCACATCACCTAATTTCCATGTAACTAATGTTCACGTTCTTCTTTTGGTTCTCCATTATTGGGGGTTAGACCCCTGAATCCTACAGTTTCCATTTCATGTTTCACGTGTCTCACTTTCTTTTCATGTGATTCTCCATTATTTGTGTTATCTCCCGATATAGGGGTCTCGAGTTGCCATCGCATTTTCTCTTTTCCATTCTGATTCACTGATCTTACTGGGGATTAGAAGGGAATATGGGAATATAGTATATATGGATTCCATAGGGGTTATATTTCCGTCTTCCCTACCCTAAACCCTAAACCCTACACCCTAAACCCCATATGTTTCGTTCCCTCATTCCCTACTGAGCCCCAGTAAGTGATTGGTGTTTTGTGAACCCCATGGCCTCCGTGTGCCCAACCCAGCTCTGACGACCACATGCAGGCCGGCGGAAACGGAGACGGAGAGCAAAGGCTCAGCCTGCGCATACATGAGCAATACCTGAACCCCAAATGCAGGTAGAATGAAGCCTTTTGGGCTATTGTGTTAGCTACTTTTGGGGGTCCAGGTAATCTAACCTCCCAGTATCAGTATCCCCCTTGAAACCCCTAGTAGCCTAGGGTTTCGGGTCCAGCGTTTAGGGTCTAAACTCCTACTATCCCCCTTCAAAAAGCCCTGTGATGCAAACCCTATATCTCCACTATAAAAACCCCCTTTCAGGAGTTTAGACTGCATGAGACTTGGCCTAGCCCGCTACAGAGACCATAATGAATTTAGAGAAGTCCCCTCATCCCTGAACCCTAAATCCCAAACCCATAAACCCTAAGCCCTGAAATCCTAAACCCTTAACCCTAAACTTTGGTCTTGCGAAATTCACGCCTCAGCCCCGTCAGATTGCAGTCAACTTGCGGACAACAGAAACCTGGGAGACGCACCACTGAATGTCCGCAAGATCGATCTCAGTCCTTGAAGTTGCGGGCTTTGAACATATGACCGTTTATACTAGTATTTTACAATGAGTCTTACTATTATTTCTAGTACTATCACCATGTTAACTTTAACTATTACTAGTATTGCTCTCAATATTACCATCGTTCAGTAGGTGAATTTTGCAGAAATCACAGAGCCTGGGCCAGAGCCACGTCTCGTGCAGATAGGAGGCGCGCCAAGTCCAAAACTCAAAAGACTAAAAGTTAGCAAGTTTATTAGGATTAGTATCACTATGTCTATTGATATTTCAAATACTATTTCTACTACTATTACTACTGCTAATTACTATACCTGTTACTATTCCTATTGCTATTTCTAGTATGATTATTACTATGACATGCAGCAAGCTGTTGTGAGGCAGCCTTGGCTCTTTGGCACAGAGATCAGCCAGCTCTTCCGCGGCAGATGGCAGCTTCACCCCGAAAAGCCCCAAAAAGATGATCAAAGACCACCTCGACTTCATAATAATTTCATAATACTAGCAATAGTAATATGAACTATAGTCTAAACTCCTAGTATCCCCCTTAATAATCCCGAAAGTAGTCCCATATATAGTCCCCTATATATCCCCCTTTAAGGAGTTTAGACTATGGCTCATATAATAGTAGTAATAATGCTAGCAGTAATATATTATAGTAGTAATATGTAGTTAAAACACATCGACTTGGAGTGGCTTCATGTGTGCATTGTGCTCAGCTTTCTGCTTGGCTGGGGGACAGGCCATCGTGATGCCATCAAGCCATTGATGGCCGAACTCCATTTGATGTCGATCCGCAAGAGGAATTGGAAGTTGCGATGACCTAGTCAACTCTCAAGAGATTTTGACATGGGTCTCTGCGTAGGGGTCAGGAAACGCGGGCATTTCCTAGAAGCTTCAGAAATCATAGTTGGCAATGCACGCTTTTTCACCCTGACGCATCTAGGAGTCTGAAGATATTGCATCCTGTCTTGCTGGGAATGGTACCTCATGCAGACAGGTCCGAAAGGCATAATTTGCTGGATCTAAAACTGGAAGGATCTTTTGTCCTCAACTAGGATGAGCTCAAAATCGTTCTACGCACACTAGCAAGATCCTGCAAGCTTCCAAGTGGCACCAACGGCCACAAACCTGTACACTTCGGCATCTTCATCGGGTTCCTTCGCTTATGGAAGAAGGGCCTTGGAAGATTCGCAGGCAGGAGTCCGCATGGATCCAGTGCAGCACTCGCTCTTAGCGTCTTCGCGGCACAGCTGGCACTGCTCACCACCACAGCCGCGGCACTTGCTATCAAAGCAGTTGTTCACAGCTTCCTCCTTGGAGTCTTTGCACATCTTCGGCGGATCAACGGAGTGGTAGTGCTCGTCACAGCAGC